AGAGCCCTTGAACCTCTCCGTGAGGACCCGGGAGACACCGGGAGCCTCCCTGTGAGGGCCCGGGAGACAACAGGACCTTCCCCGTGAAGGGCCCGGGGGACACCGGGAGTCTCCCCGTGGCCCATGAGGGTCCGGGAGCGCTACCGAGGGCCCTCAATGGGGAAATCCTCGCTCTGTGCCCGGTGTTGGGCCGGGGCTTGGGTGATTCCCGAGGGAAAGGAACTCAATGTGCTCTTGGAGGGGAGAGCTGGAGGATGGAGTAGAAGGAAAAGAGCAAAAATAAATAAAGCTCGAGCTGTTAGCCTCAGGTTGTCGTTTTATCAAGCGTCAGCCAGGTGTGATCTCACTTAAATAGGAGAGTGCTGGGGGGAAATGTGTATTTTTCCTCAGGCCTGATGCCCATACACGTGTTTGGTGTGCTCAGAGAGGCTCTCCTGGTGCCTGAGGTCAGGCTGACGCTGGTCACTCATCTTTGGTGTTGGATTTCCACCTCTGATCCCTCCTCCTTCAGAGCAAGGTCCAGGCCAAATGCAGGAGGCAGTGAGTGATAGCAAGCTGAGCACCAGCTACACCTGGTTATCCCAGCTCCTGACAGGCCCCTCTCATTTCACCCTGTCCTCAATTCATTAAATGCCTCTGGCCTCTTAAAATCAGTTGGTTTGGTCTTCTTTCAAATCTGATGGAAATCCAGTTGTAGCCCAGTAATCCCCCATGATAAAATAACTTTCTCTGCAAGCTGTGGGGAATTTTCCTTGACACAATTCTTTGACTCGAAATTTTTATTCTGTGACACATTTCTTTGACTTGATGCTTTTACCCTTCGTTTTTCTTTTCAGAAACATTTGCATGATGTTCTCTGTGTGCAGCCGGAAGCAAAGGTTTAAAGAGACATTTCAGCTTTCTTTTTATGGAGTAGGTGATAGTTATAGCTGATTCAGATGGTTAGTGGGGATTACAAGTGTGAGGGATTTATAGTGGCTCTTCATCACTCTTCTTCCCAGAAAAATGTAGAAAGATCTTCTAAAAAGATGAGGAAAAATCCCAAACACAGGGCTTGTTTATTTTGATCAGAGGGACTTGTGAAACTTCTGTATTTGGAAGAGCCCCAGTGCTTTTCAAGAAGGGAGATTTCCCAGTTTTTGCTCCTTTCTGGTGACCCAGCACACCCAGCCTGTGTGTCCCTTGCAGCAGAGGTTTATTCTGCTTCCTGCACTGTGAATATCCTTGCTGAGAGGGGCGGTGCTGAATTTTAAATCGTGTTTAGCCCACGGGATTAAACCTCAGCCTGCAGGAGCCTGGTGGCTGGGCTGGGCTGGCTGAGGTGCTGAGCACTCTTCCATCACCCTTTAAAAGCTTTTTGCAGAGTTGGAGGGAAAGGGGAGAAGCAGCAGGAAATCTTGAGAGAGTACATTTAGCATACTTGGGAACAAAGCAGGTTTGCACATTCCTGGCAATGTTCAGTAGCTCCTTTTTAGATGTAAGGCTGATTTATGGCAGAAGGTGCAGCAGAGCTGTGTAATTCCCTGTGGAATGTGTGAAATGCCTGTACAGGGACAAGAGCTTCAGGCACTTCAGATCAGGCTGTGCTGATGTGAATCAGAGCCTTTCCCAGGTGCTAGAGCTCTGTGAAACTCCAGTCTCAATCTGCCATTTCCAATCTTGCCAGATCACAGGAGGACAGGGATCAGGTTTGCCATAAACACAGATCATGAGGCAACCTGAGTGTGGGAAAATGGCTCTGACAGGTGAAACTTTGAGCTTCCTGCCTTGGGCAGGGGACAGACGTGCTCCCTGCAGTTTCTGTTGAATTATCCACATACCTGCCCTGGAGAATTGTCACTGCTCTTGTTGGCTCACAGGCTGAGAGAGGAGAGAAGAGTTGCCATCACTTCCCACTGGTTACTCCAGTGATGGGCATGTCCATTCTCCTGAAATAAATGAGGGGTTTAGGGGAGAGGAGAGAGGCTGGAGAGGGATTTAGGATAAGGACAATGGGTGACAGGACAAGGGGTGGTGGCTCTGCACTGCCACAGGGCAGGGTTAGATCTGAAGTCCTTGACTGAGCATGGTGAGGCCCTGGCACAGGGTGCCCAGAGATGCTGTGGGACCCCATCCTTGGAAGTATTCCAGGACTGGAGGGGGCTTGGAGCAGCCTGGGATGGTGGAAGATGTCCCTGCCATGGCAGCAGGGTGGAAGGAGATGATCTTGAGGGTCCTTTCCATCCCAGACCAGTCTGTGATTCAGTGACCACCTGAATAGAACCTGGCTCCTTGTTCCCACCATATCCTGCAGGTTCTCCTTTGAATAACCTGTGTGAGCTGCCTGGCCTTGAGGAGTTCTTGCATTTTACATCCCAGAACCATCTGTGCCATTGGCCTGCAGTCTGAGCTGGCTCCCTGTGCAGGGATCCAGTGTGGTGTCAGTGGCAGATGTCACCATCCCTGTGCTGCTGGCAGGGGCTGTAGGGACACTTTGCTCTGTAGGGACACTCCACTCTGTAGGGACACTTTGCTCTGTAGGGACACTTTGCTCTGTAGGGACACTCCACTCTTGTGAGAGCTCCCTGATGCTGTTTTCAGTTGCTTCATTTTCTTTCTGTTGTAGAAATAATTGTTGCAGTTTCTTTGTTGATGTTCAGGCAGCTTGTGTACCCCTTCCCTTCCCCCTGCTGGGAGACTGCAGTAGCTAAAGCTCTCTAAAACATCAATGTCTTGCCCAAAAATTAGCAGATAATAGAACATTAATTGTAAATAGCCCTTGCTAAAGGACTAAAAGAACTTTTTTTTTCCCAAGTGATTGCACTACAGTGCTCATTTTTCTTCCACAAGTTGAATTAAACTAAGGACCTTGTTCTTGCTGACACATGATATTAGTTTGCATTATCATTGTGATAACAGGTGTTAGATAACACAGAAATGAAGGGCAAAGGAGACAAAGCTTCAGTCTTCTAGGAAACCTGCAGGGATGCTTTCAAGCCTTAACTTGTTCACTGTGTTGGATTAAGAATGTGAGTCTTCCTTGAGGATGCTTATTTAAATTCTTAGATCCATGGCTGTTAACCTATTCCTTTTTCTTTGTTTCATTCCATTTTCATTGTTCTCTGTTTTTCTTGCATTTCATTCACTGCAATAACCACAACATTTGCTGTAGTTCAGGTGTTTGGTGCAGCTACACAGAAACCAGGCCTGCACCTTGTGCTGCATCTCTTCAGTGACTGCCAGTTTATATTTGCCTTTTTTCCTTTTACAGATCACATCTAAAGTCTCTGAAACTCCAAGGCTGGAAAGTGTTTGACTTTGCTTCTTCCCCAGCTCCTGCCATACCTTATTTAGTAAATCTGACAGCACTTATAAAAATAAATAAGGCATTCTGTTAGTCACTTCAGCTGTGTGAAACACCCAAAAAGCCTTTAAAGGACAGCAGTTAGCAGGTGGCTCTGGTAAGGTTTCATTCCTGGAATTATCTTGGATGGTTTTTTAACTGAACACATTCCCAACAGGTAACTTCCCTTTGAGTGAATGGCTTGGGAGTTTGCTAGCAAAATTGCATTTAAACACACTTCAAGGATGCATGAAATTCCACTCTGATGTAAAATGTTGCAGTTCATATTTATGTTTTTTATTTAAATCTTGACTTTTATCCTCACCTTTAGGTGACTGAGCCACAGGAGGTGGAACATGGCTGGACAAATATCAGAGGCTGATCAGATCAAGCAGGTGAGATGCTGCATTTGGGAGGGGGGCCTTTGAAAGTCTTGTGCTGCTCTGTCCCAGGGAGTGGAAGGTGAAGTGCATAGGGAAGGACAAACTCTTGAGTTATCTGAGTTAACCAAAATTTCAGCAGGTGACCATTGGCAAACAGCATGTTTTGTGTATGAGCAGCTTTTGGTGCTGAAATCTTCTGCCTGAGAGTAAATTTTTCTAGGGACTTTCCATTCAGATTTTCTTATACCATGCAGCTGTATATAAGAAAAATAAACACTGATTTTTATGGGTTTTTTTAATATTCATTGTCCAATTTTTATTTACAGTTCAAGGAGTTTCTTGGCACATACAATAAACTTACAGAAAACTGCTTTGTGGATTGCATAAAGGATTTCACTAGCAGAGATGTGAAACCAGAAGAGGTAGGTGATGGCTTCTGATGGTCCTTTGGTAGAATGGCTGTGCAGCATTCCAATTTCAGAAACAACTCAGAGTTTTGATCTTTAAACCAAGGTACAGAGCCAGGCAGTGGAGTGTGGATGTCTGGCTTGTTGCTTCCAAGTGAGTGTCCCATCCCAGAGCAGCTTGGACAGGGCTTGGAGCAGCCAGGGACAGTGCAATGTGTCCCTGCCCATGGCAGGGGGTGGAACTGATGCTCTATAGGGTTCCTTCCACCAAAACCATCCTAGAAGTGGTTGTGACACCCAGAATCTGCCCAGTCCCCACTGAATACTGGCTGCTCATTGCAATTCCATGTGTTTCATTCCCTGAGCTGTCAGTGGAGGTTCCTGTGCTGTAACTGCTCATGGAGGTGACTCCATGGACAGGAAGCTGCCCACCCACAGCCTGCATCTCACCCTTTGAGGAATCCTGCTGAAATATTTGTTTACCTGCCCACGTTCCTGCCTTGTAGTGAGTCATGGGAACACAGCTCTGCTGTTCAATCCACTTCCCTGCACTGCAGGGAGCTCCCTCACGCTGCCATCTGCACAAAGATTAAGCTCTCCATAAGATGACTTGCATGATTTTGCTTCTCCTTGCCTGTTGAGAGGCTGTTTCAGAGACTAATCATTTTGTTGGTTAAAAATCTAATAACCTTTCCTTGACTCTGCTGGCAGGAAAAACAAGAAGTCTAATATTTTAAACTAACCATTTTTGGAGCCTTTTCTGCTTCCTTGGAGTTCAACTCCTCACTCCAGGCAAAACTCATGTGTCCTTCCAGCTTTGGTTCTGCTGCCCTGAACAGAGCTCTCTTAGCTTCCCAAGACAGATTTCTTCTTTCCCTAAATTTCTCTGCATCTGCTTTAGTGGAATTCTATTACAGGTCATAATTATTTTGGATTAAAGATTACTTAGGTCCAAAAAAGTATTCCTAAGATTCTTGGAGCAGCCTGGACTAGTGGGAGGTGTCCCTGCCATGGCAGGGGGTTGGAATGAGGTGATATTTAAGGTCCATCCCAACCCAAACCAATTTCTGATTGTGAGCTGCCTATTTTTGCTTCTGTGGATTGCAGAGGGTTCATGTCTGGTGGCACAGGAGCCATCTGTTGTTAACAGAGGAACTAGGAAAAATCTTTCTTATGGGAAATTCTGCCAGATTGTCCATTATGGGATTTCCTGCAGAGCACCTGTCTGGAAACAGGACACTTGTCGAGATGGACACTGCTGTGGAAATTCCCATTTTCTCTGGAGAGTTGTAGTTCCTTATTAAATAATTGAGACCCCTTTGGGATCCTGCACTTGATAAAACCCAACTTGGGAGCTCTTTCCTCCCCCAGGTGCCAGTGCAAGTCTGGGCTCACACACACAGGCCTGGGGCAGCTCCAGTTGTTGTTTCCTAGGGAGACTCCACTCCTGCTCAGCAGGTTTGGCTGGAGCTGCTGCCAGGCTGAGGGGCTGGCTGCTGTGTGGAGCTTGCTGGGGTTTTGTCCACTTCATTTCATCCCTTTTGCTTTTCACATCCCCCTGCACTGAACAGAACCAAAGCAATGTCTGCTGTGTTCCCAGGCAAAGGGGTCACCTTTCCTTTCCACCCAAATCTGTTACCTTTGAGCCATGGCACAGAATATCCAATTAGTAGGACTGTAGCTCAGAAATAATCTCACAACTCTTTCTCTACACTTAAAGAAAGAAACCACTTTAAATTTGAAAAATCCTGTGGATGGAATAGGCTCTGGTATTTATTTCCCAGTCCAGCTGACTGAGGTACTCTGGTGGCAAGGCAGGTACCAGAGCCAATGGGAACAAGGGTAAAATGGGTTAAACTGAGTTAGAAAAGAGCAGATCACATTTGGCTGTCACAGCCAGTATGTGTTTGTAAACAGAATTAAAACAAAATTCACTAATTTAATAGATTTATTATTAATTTCAAAATATGTAGTTCAATTCCACAAGAGGAGCCCAGGGACAAAAGGATGGTATCTCCTGAGTCCAGGGTGTTTTCCATGGAGACTTTAACATGAGAATGAATATTAGTAAATGTTTCAGGCATACCAGAGAAACTCAACTTCATTTTTTCTACTGCCCTCATCCTGACAGTGTGAGATGTACTCACCCAACTGTTTATCCCTGTGATACTTTGGGTCCTGGTTGGGGATGTGTTTGGCTGTCTGAAGCCCTGTGTTCCCTCTTGCTGCAGATAACTTGCTCAGAAAACTGCCTGCAGAAGTATCTGAAGATGACACAGAGGATCTCCATGAGATTCCAGGAGTACCACATCCAGCAGAACGAGGCTCTGGCAGCCAAGGCAGGACTGCTCAGCCAACCTCGCTAGAGCAGAGCTCTGTGCTCAGACTCAAGCTGTGCCAAGAACACACTGGGGGATTCCTGCTGTCAGGATGTGTGTCCAGCAGCTCAGGGCAGAGCTGTGGGTGCTGCTCAGGCAGTGGGAGCAGAAGGGTTAAACAGGAGCTCAGTCCTGGTGGCCTGGCAGTGGAGTTTGTTTCCACAAGGGAATGATGCACATACAACTTTTCCCAGGGCCCACAGACTGTGTCTGAATTTCAGGGGTGGTGGGAGGGCTCACCTGCCTTTTGCTGAGACTGGTTGAGATGAATCAATGTAATGTGGGGAATACTTTTTTATTTAATTCAAATAAAATCAGCTGGAGCCATATCCACCTGTGTGTTCTTTCCCAAGAGCCATTTCTGGGACATCTGAAAGCAGAATTTTGTTTGCTGGGGGCTCTTTGCTCCAGAGTTCTGTGCATTCACTGCTGCTGTAGGAGCTGACAGAGGCCAGAGGGAGCTCAGGCAGGGGTGCCCCAGGTTCTCTTTGGTCACTGACAGGGGCAGGGGGACATGAGCAGCACTTGTGCCTGGGGCAGCTCCTGTGCACCCCTTGATTCCCTCAGGGAGCCCCACAGGGTCCTGCCAGCCCGGCCTCCTGGCCTGACACCCTCCAGGCACTGAGCTTGCTGCAGTTTGCACACAATTCACACAATCACTGGGTTGGGAGACACCTTAAAGATCATCAAATCCAACCCAGCCCCAACAGCTCAACTAAACCCTGGCACCCAGTGCCACATCCAGGCTTTGTTCAACACCTCCTTTCTCCTGTGAATGCCAGCAGGAAATCCAGGCTCTGCACAGCACAGGGTCTGTGCTGCTGCTGCAGGAGCCCACAGAGAGGTTTGGAAGGCAGCTGCACTGGGTTACAAACACAGCAGTGCTTTGGAAGGATCCTGACAGCTGCAATCCTGCAGTCAGGGCATCAGTGCAGTGCAAGGACAGCAGGCACCTTGTGCTTCAGGTCTCATAAAACCCAGGGACAATGGGCACTGAACATCAGGAGCAGCAATTTTGAGACTCCAGGTGATGAGGAGTGAACCAGAGCCATTCCATGTCAGCTGCCAGGTTCTGTTATTGATAGAGAGGCAACAACAAGGAACAGAAAGGGCAGGAGGAGTTTTTTGTTGTTACCTTCTCTACCTTTCTGTTTCCAGCAGAGCTTGAGTAACTCAGCTGTGGATCCCTGGCCCCTGGGGGCAGCACAGTGCCCCTGCCACCTGCACCAGCCACTGCTCTGTGTGCTGCAGCTCTGCCTGGAGCCCTGCTCCTGGGCTTGCCAAGGTGCCAGGAGCCAGTGGGGGCCTCCAGCCCCACACCCCTGTGTTTGTACCACAGCCCCTTCTCCCTGTGCCTCGTTACCCTGGAGATGGATGAGAGCTCACTGAAACAGTGAAGGCTGAAAACCAGCCCAAATAAGGCAGCAAGTCTGCAGTGTCCTGTTTTTTCAAAGGAATATCAGGCTAAAAATGTCCACGTTGTTTGCTACAATCAGGCCACAAATGCTGCAGCTAAATTGAATCAATACATGTATAGTAAAGACTTGAAGGCTTTCCTTGAAGCAGCTTTCTTTCTGTTAAACATTTGAAAATAATCCATGATTGAGATTTTCCACTGGCTCTTCATGTGCAAAGAGGTGCTCAGAAAAGTGCCTGAAGAGTTTAACTGAGAAAAGTGGAGGATTTTCATGTCTTCTGAACAAAGCACCTAGGGGCTGAAGTGAAGGGAGTTAAAAAAATAATGGCTTTCTCTCATTTCTGTATTTGGAGCTAGGAAAATATTTAAATATTAGGGCAGAATTCCTTTAAAAAAGGTTAAGCAAGTTTAAGAGGGACTTAGTTAATAAATTACTCACTTTCAGGTTTGGATAATCAATTTTGTCAAAGCTCTGTTTCTCTACAAAAATCTTGTGGTCTTTCACATCCAGGTGACAGGTTGCATACAGACAATACAAATACACTTGAGCTTGGAAATAAAATACATCCATGTAACTAAAGCATCCAGGTGATACAAATAAATAATATAGGATAAAAATGGTTTTACTCTGGATCCTTACAAAGACAACAGCATTTTCTTAAATCCATTAAGGGTGTGAGGAGGAGATGAATCACCTTGCTGAGGCACAGGAGGTGCAGGAAGGGATCCCACTCGGAGGGAAGAAGGAGCAAAGGGTGAAGAAGGGGAAGCTGCTGAGGGAGGAGTACTGAGAAAGCTGGAAAGGAAAAAGTGAGCCAAAGTGGAGGTGGGAGGGGAGAGCAGCCTGCCAAAAAGCAGCTCAAGGAAACTGAGCTGGTAAACAGACACTCATTAGGGGGAGATGCTCAGTGCAGAGCAGTGGGGAACACAGATCCTTCCTGCTGCACACACACACACAGAAACCAGAACCTGTTCAGCAGCAAGGGTCAAATGAGAGCCTTGCTCCAGAGTGGCCTGGACAGCACAGTGCTGGCACAGCCAGCAGATCAATCAGCTGGAAGATTATAATGGAGGCTCCTTGAATTCTCTCCAGGATAAAAGCAAAGCTCCAATTTATGTAATCCCCTGCTGAGAGCTTCAACTGCTGAGCTCTGTTGGAAGGCAAGAAAAGGAGTGACTGCAGAGCTGTCAGCAGTGTGGGTGAACACTGAGTGTGGCTGTGGCTGCAGAGCAGGGAGGCAAATCCTGTGTGCTCTGGCATTCCCCACGCTGGGAACTGGAGCTTAGCAACAGCTCTTGCTTCAGCATCTTCTCTCTGCTACTTGGTAAGTCAGCACATGGCATTTGAGGAATCCAGTTCAAAGCTTAGGAAGTCCATTAAGCTCAGCTCCAAAATTCCTTGAATGAGTCTGGCCCAAACTCTAAAAGCTGTAAAAGCAATTAAAGCCTCTGAACCCAAAACCTTGGATTTCCAGAGGACAGCATTAAAAGAACTTAAAAAGTTACAATTCTGCCTCATATTGGAGGGGTTTAAAAATGATGTTTTACCTTAACTTCACACTCCTTTGTGTTTTGGTGTCAGGGAGCAGCAGGTTCTTCACAATAAATGTCAGGTAAAATGCATGTGTTACAACATTTTCAGCAACAACTGGAATTAGATCAGGGGAAGTACATTAGTGACTTTCTGCAGATTAAAGTGTTGTTGGATTTCTAACTATATTGCACCAAAAGGCACTTGAAGGATGGATCCTGGGGCACCAGGAGAGGGGCAGGGTCACCCTTGGAGCACACAGAGACTGCTGGGGCACAAGCAGATACTCCTGGATGGGGTGCAAGTAGATGATCTGTGAGAGTCCTTTCCAATCCAAACTGAGACATAAGAAAATGTCTTATGGAAGGTCTGGAAGAAGAGACAACACATTTCACTGCAGGGGATGCAGAGAGCAGTGGCATCCCTGGGCACTGGGACAGCCCAACAGGAAAGGTTTTATACAAACCAGCTCTGGCCTGAATGTAAGGCACAGAGAGGTATTACCCTGCATGGGGATGCTGCCCAGGGCCTCTGAGCCAAACAGAAATCACATTCCCATCAATTGTTCAGGGCTCTCCAAAGCAAAAGCAGGAAACAAGAACAGCAGCAGCCAAACCTCAGCCACAGAGATCAGCTCCCTCCTGCACTGCCTGTAGATAACATCATTCCATAATTATTCCCACAGCATTATGTGGGGCTGCTCTCACATTCTGAGTTAATCACATTCAAATACTTGCACAGACCAACATAAAATTTTACCTCTCACTGGTTCCAGTGCCAAAACATTTCCTCATCTGAGAGGGACTGTCCTGCCCACCTGAGGGAGCCACTGTCCCTGTCCATGCCCCTGGGATGGCACACAGGGGTCACCTGCAGGGTGGGAAGCAGAGCATGTGCAGAAGGAATTAAGGGATGGGGCTTTCCTTTTTTTTCCTTTTAAAATAGCTTTATTTATTCATAAGGGAAATAAAGGAGCACCAAAAGATATGGTTTTAGGTTTCACATAGTTAAAGCAGAAAGCAAACACACTCTTGTGCAATATAGCAAAGTATTTAATACAAATTCCACATCTTACCCCTCCTTATGAAACTGGCATAGCTGGCAGGAGCAGGGTAAATTAGGTCAAGCTGTACCCAGATGAGGGATTAGAGGAGGAGTTTAGGAGCAGCTGAAGACACCGACAGTGCTGGAATGGAAATGTTGTTGGGTTCCTCTGAACAGCAGCAAAGTGAGAAATCACCAAACCCCAGCACCAAGGCAGGGCAGTGTCCCCCAGCAGCAGCTCAGGGTTAAACACAGGGACAACCCCTGCAGGCTGGCACAGCTCCAGGGCAGCTCTCCTTGGCTGGCAAACACTGCCAGAGGGAAAGTGAAGCAAAGCTTCCCTGGTTAGTGCAGTGAGTGAGCTGTGCTGGGGCACTGAGGCCAAGGGGTGTTGGAGATTTTTTCAGAAATGGCTTAGAAGGCAGCTGTGAGGAGTAAAATTCTCACAGCCTGTTTCTGTAAACAGCAGAAGTTCTCAGGTTGTTTTTAATTACAAGTAAAAGTGACAAACGTGAGGGCCTTGAGAACCTTGCATACCAGAGTTCTCAGGCAGCTTTTTCATAACAAGTAGATATTCTATCTTTGGCTGTTTTGGGAAAGCAAAAATAATTTTGAGAACCCAAATCTTGGTATTGGAAACATAAGGAGGAGTTGGTGTGTTACCTCTGACCTATTGTGAGCTCGGGTTTGCAATATGCATGAACTTAATTAACACGGTTATAAAAAGTGATTGATTGAGTGAATAAATGGAGTCAGATGCTGAACAATAAAGTTGGGTCTTCTCCCTCCATCTTCAATAAAGGGGCATCAAACAAAGCCAATTCTCATCTCTGGAAACTCTTGGTGAGGGATGAGCAGCAGCACAAGGGTGTTAACCCATGTTAACCAGTGCAAACAGCTGCAGAGCTGAAGCAGAACCAACCTGCTCTGAGCCAGAATCCAGAATCCAGCCAGAATCCCACTGCAGAATCTCTGCAATGGGAAGGAGCAAGAATAACACCATAAATAGCAAAGATAATTCAAAATCAAGAAGACACAAGAAAAGTGCTATTCTTAGAAAAATTTTCACAATCAACAGTTTGATCCTTTCAGTTTTCTTTAAATTGCAGCATGGTGAGCATTTGTCATTGAGCTGGGGATAATCATAAAATCCACCACTCACTGGCATTAAAACAAACACACCATTCAGGCCAAAAACACTGGAACACAAAAAGTAAATTTACATATCCATCCAAAGCAATGGCTGGGACCAATAAATAAATACTTCAATAAATAAATACTTGTGGAATCCGAGAAACTCACAGATATTCAGAGCAAACAAAAGACCCCAAATAAAT